GTGATGATGGAAAACATGGCAAGACGACTAGAAATTCAGGTGTCAATACTTTTCACATTAGAAGTGGGAAACTTTGGCTAGAAGTATAGACACAAATTGTCTTAGGTTTGAAACTGTGGTGGTTCGTCCTGGAAAGGTGATCCACTCTTAGGCTGGATTCAGAATATGACAACACGGAACCTGTATTTCCGTGGTAGTCACCGCATGGTTTCTCACCTGAAGAGTGTCCTGATACTGCACAGCGGCTTGCATGGCATCCTCAAGCTTTTCTAGTCTCTCTTTCCATGTTTTGTTTAAGTTCTCCCAGGCATTATTCATCTAGGGGAAAAACAGTCAATCAGATTCTTCAATTACTACCACTCTCTAGTCTGCATCACCAATGTCCCGCCTGAACCCCTTCTCCATTTCTCCACACCTCATCAATGCTCTTCTTCACTTCGGGTTTCTCAGTTTCTCCACAGGCAAAAATCAAATCTGCTCCAAGGATTCGAATAAACTCCAATTCCTCATGCAGACCATCCGTCTCTTCCTTAATAGTCTACATGTAAATGAACAGAGCATAAGCCAAAACAGAAGCAGAACGGAACTTCCCAAACTTTGCAAATGTAATCATATCCCCATCAATAAGATGTTAAACAGAACTGTCAATCTCACAAAAGTCTTTCAATGTTCTCAATATATCATTTATCTAAATAGTGAAGCTTCAGACTCTGGTTATTTTTCATACATATGCACACAAAAATATATGTCTCAAATATATTTTTATATATAACTATATATATATGTAAAACTATATATATATATGGGAAGGTGCACTGAACTTCAATAATTTACTAAAGGTTCATCCTTCCTTCCTCCAAGAAGATTATAATCTATAGCTAGGAGTCTATTANCGAAGAATTCTAGAAAATGAATGCTTCTCTCAAACTGTTCAGTTGTATGTGAATATTTGTTTTATGTGCTTCTGCCCATTAAATTTGGTAGGATCCACGCCTTTATTGTTCCACTATATACCAAGCACAATGCCTGGTGCATACCTGCTTAATAAGTACTTGGTGAATGAATGTGGCCCATAGATTTGAACACATATTTTATTTAATTTGCCCAGCACAGAAATTCTGCAGAGTGATACTCTGAAACCCAGTACTCATACAAAAACAGTGTTTTGGAGCCTTGATCCTGAATCACTTTCTTCTTTTGAAGAAAATGTGACTTTTGAGGAAGACTGGGAAGAGGCCATGTAATTCACTTGTTTCTTGATTTTTTAGTACAATTCTCTGCATAACGTACTTATGCTTGAATCCAAACTCCCTGTGCGGAATTATTAGTCATACTCCCTGTGTGCTCTGTCCCCACCCTCCCAATCCCAAGTCACCAACTCCAACATGACCTGGTTTTTAAGTAGGAACACAAATCTGATAAACAATGGACATAGGGTCCATCATTGAGCAGTAATGTCTTAACTGGTAGATGCAGAAAAGGAATCAATAATAAAAGCTAATACTGGCAGAAACTAGTACCATCAATGCAACTTGACATGGATGGAAAACAGAAATTTAATGGCAGAAAAGATAGATGATTAGCACGAAGGCAATTCTGAAGATATCAATTCTGCAATTTCTGGTACAATATACTGGTCTACAAAAAGTCCTCATAGATACCAGATGGCAACAGCACGCCACCACCAAGCACACTATACCATCATCACACACTGTATTTTATGGTGATACCTTTCTTTCTTCCATCTTACTGCTGACCACATGCCACTTCTGTTCCAGGAGTGCTACGCTCTGTTCTGTCTTTGAGCCAGACCCAGAATCATCTCGGCTTAGAAGCATGAGCCTGCCCTTGTCAAGTAGTTGATTGTAAGTCTCTTCCTTGGCTTTGAGCTGGGAATAGAGTTCCTACAAGAAAAGGCAGGCAGGATATCAATAATGCCAACTCCCCGCAAGACACCACACACAGATTGATGAGCACAGTCTGGAAAAGTCCATCTCGATTTAAACCCTTTCTTTTAGATTCAGTTCAACTGCTGAGCAATGAGGGAACCCTTCTTCCTTAACATTAAAATAATTCTGTCACCAAGTAAACAGAATTTGTTTTAAGAATCAGCGATCCCAAAAATAGGCCCCAATAATTTATTTCTCCTTTTCCTGAAGGATTTGCCTAGAAATTATGTTGCATTTTGTTCTTAGCCACTTTCGTGAAATACTGTCAGTATCTACTGACAATAAATCCCACCTAAGTAGTTTTTTACTTTAATACAACCACATCTGTGTTATATATTTGTCTTCTTGAAGTTCTCACCTTCAAGTCAATATTCTTATGCCCACCGAACTGACCAACTCAAAATTTACCAGCTCACCAGTGTATTCTCAGCCGACTCTTCCCTGTCACCACTGCTGCCTGTGGTCGCAATTAAATGCTCACATACAGCAGCAGTCCTCAAGGTTGTACTACATTGTCAGTAAAAAGGCCCCGCTTTGTAGACTCCCAGATACCTATCTCAGAAAGGAGCTACTGAATATGGGACACTTATGCTCGATTTCAGGAAATCTCTATTACCATATGTGTATCAAGTTGTTCCCTAGCAGTTTCAGGGAGTCCTCCTGTGGGCTTAGATGCAGAAAGTTGGGTCTCCATCTTAGTCAGTTCCAAGAGAAAATCTTCAATTTCACTGTGGAAACCCTGGGCCTTTTGAGAAAAAACATATTAGCAAGGTCAGTAGTCAATTCTAGCTTTAAAAGTAAACTTTCTAAATGACCATATGAGAAACTTATCTTGGGAGAGGGATTTTGGGCTGATCTCAGGCAGAGTTGCGCTGTTGCTGGATTAGCATCGGGCCAATGTATTTATTTATTTTTAGAATCCAGCAGAATCCTTCAGACCTCACTGTAACATATTATAGATGTCTGGTATAACCGATGAATTGATTGACTAAGCTACTGTTCAATATGGATGTGGAGGAACCTGACTTGATTCAAGAAATAACAGAATCTGTGAACAAGGTTTGCTGTAGCAAAGATCTTCTAACTTTGAATAGTAAAGAAAGAGACTGGGCTACATACTAACCCAAGGCAGAACTAAGAAATCAAAAGTTGTTTTTTCCGGACAACTTCCAGTATAGACATGACCTTGCTCTCAAGACACAAGGGGCTCTACACCAAACTGCTTTTCTTTTGTGGACTTAGACAGGCTTNGGTTACCTTATGGGTGTCAATGAGGGACTGCAGGGCCTCTGTGTCATCAGGAAGTGCTCCCCGAAAGCGAAGCGTTTGCTCTGCTTCAGAAAGCCACTCCAACAGCATGTGGACTGTGTCCCGGAACTCTTCTGCCTGAAATAGCCAAGCACAAAAGACTGAACCTCTCTCTGCAGCCAAGGTCTTGGAATGCCAGGGAAAGGATCTGGGTCTGAATTTGTTATTCCATCACAGGCTTTCGATGACCCTATCCTATCAAAGCCCCACAAAGGTCATCTTTCATTTGTAGATCTTCGAAAACCAACTGAGTTCATTATTTCTCTCATACAAATGAGTGTCAAAATTTTATAGAACCTTCAGAATATCAATGTCTGAGTTTATGTTCATTTTGAGATTGGCTGGAATCGATCCTGATTAATAAACTGGAATGAATCTGCTCAGTCCCAACCCCCGGGGTTACCCTAGCAAACGTCTCTGACCTGTTTTAAGGCCTGCTCAAGTCGGCTTTGTTTGGAGACGGAGAGTTTACACACAGTGTCCCAGCGGGTGCTCAGTTCTTGGAGCTGCCCTTTTACCCACGTGGTGTCATCGCGACTGTTCTCAATCAGCTCTCGGCCTGACCGCTTTAGCACCTGAACGGTTCCCGTTCGCTTTCCCAGTTCCTTCTGGAAAACCTAGAAAAGAAAACAGGATGATTTGTTTGTCTGTAAAATGTTTGAATCCAAGAAGGTAAACCACAGAAAAAGAAACCACTTAGTTCAGTTTTCCTTGGTAGGTTCCAGTCCTGTGTCTTTTATGCACAGAGGGAGGCCAGACGATGCATAAGAAAAAACATGAAAAAGCAGTGTGACTTTGGATAAGATGCTTAGCTAGAGTCTCAGTTTCCTAATCTGTAAAATGAGAATAATGTTATATTAACATTTCCAGAATTGTGGGAATTAAACAGGAAACACATCTGCCATGCACGTAATAAGGATTTGATGTAATTTCAAAGTAAATTGAATGTTTTGTGCTCAAGGAGAAGGGCATTATGCAGCTCAACATGACAGGAGTAGGTTACATCGAATATTGGTGTGCATGATGCTGGGCTTGTTAGGTTCAAAAGTTGTTAAAAAAAAAAAAGCACTCATTTTCATTTTAGATGTCAGTGGAAATGGATTATATTGAGAGGTCCTAAATTTAAATTCATTTTGTGACTCAACTGAGAGATACAAATAGAAACAGGGTGTGTGTGTGCGCGTGTGTGTGCGCGCGCGTGTGTTGGGGGGGAGGGGGGGACGACGACGGACGGGACCTCTCCAAGTGAAGTTTACACACTGCCAAATCTGAATCTAACCAATTTTGGTCAATTCTCTGTGACCAATACATAATCCTCGCAGCAGTTTGTTTAAACACACAGAGCAGGAAGCCGCCCCTCCGACAAGCAGATTTCCTTTCTTCCCTGGAAGGTTCGCATGAGCAGAGGGCACACACAGGTGGAGGCCCCAGTGGCTCTGCCCTCCATGCTGCCCAGATCTCACCGCTTACCTTGTGGGCATCCATGAGGTTCATNACTATTTAGGCTTCAGTGTATAAGGCAGAAGGTAGAGCATGACGGGGACAAGTTAGGAAACGGTTGCAGTAATGGCGGCAAAACATGGTGAGGGCCTGAGCCAGGGCAGGAAAGACGGAGACGAGGTGCTTTGAAAGTAGGACAGATAGGACCGGGTGACTGGCTAGATGTGGGGGTACAGGAAAGAGAGAAGAAGCGTCTCAGACACACCGGAGGCCTCTATGTTGGGCGACTGGGCGGATGGGAGAGAGGAGGCAGGTTTGGGAGGGAAGGATGGGGTCAGATAAGGATGTAACAGGTTTTTAGAGCTGCCCCTGCTTCGCTGCATGTCTGGACCTCCGGAGACGACGGTGCCGGGGATGAGAAACTCTTTGATTTACAGGCGATGGCTGAGGCTGGTGGACTAGATAAAATCTCAGTAGTGTGAGAAGAGGGTCAAGGATGGAACTTCAGGGAACAATATTAACAAGTAGATAAGGGAACAGGAACCAGCTAAGACGACTGAGAAGAAAGGTCAGGACGATGGGAAGAAAACAAGATGGAAGGACACATAAGTCAAAAGAAGAGTTCTGAGAGGAAAGGAAGAGGCGACTGTGTCACATGTCATATAAGACAAACACTAAAAAGCACCTGTTGGATTTAGCCAGCGGGATGTGACTGGGACACTGTCAGTGGTCTGATGGGAATGGAAGCCAGGTCACAGGGGCTGGGGAGTGAGTGAGAAACAAGGAGAGAAGACAGGGAGTAAGAGGGAGGGACAATGAGGGTAATGTGAGGGGGACACAGGATTGAGAGGACATGTCTACAAGCTTTGGAGGAAAGCAAGCAGGATGGGAGAGCTTGATGACACAAGGAAGAGAGAAGCAAGAGGGACTGGCCTTGAACATGGTGAAGGTACTCTCTTAGTCAGGAGCGGTGTCAATGGAGACAAACTTGACAGGAAGTATAGGGAGGTCTCACTGGTGAGGGGCATTATTTATATACACTAATAAGACCATATGCTCACAGTATAAGCAAGATACATGCTTGCACTCAGTGTAAATTATCATGGTTAAAAAGCATATTTGCCTCCTAAAGATATATTATGACGACAGCTCAACCAANTGGGAAGGTGCACTGAACTTCAATAATTTACTAAAGGTTCATCCTTCCTTCCTCCAAGAAGATTATAATCTATAGCTAGGAGTCTATTACAGAGAAGTATATTAACAAGGGTAAAATAATAGTACAAGTCACAAATTTAAGAGCTGAGAGACTAGCATAACAGGAACACTAGGCCATATAATCTTGAGAAAAGTCAGTTGTGTGTCAGATCCTAAAAGGTGGTTCATGGACCGGCAACGACAGCGGTGGGGAGAGGGAGAATAAAAAGTAATTAAATAAAAGACATAAGAGAGATTATATCAAGGTTTGTATAGGCTTGGTTTGTACTAAATGGGCAAAATGAGTGGAGAAATGCATTTAGTAAAAATAAAAACTAGGCTCTCCAAAAAGACTAGAAAAAAGTATATTAAAGCAACAATTGTTATCTTTGAATGATGAGTCCAGAATTTATTTTCTACTTTCTATTTTTCTGCATTAAACAAATTTACTTGAGAACAAAATAACATATACTACAGCAAGGACTAAATTCAGAAATGAAAGCAAAACTGGATTCTTAGCATATCATACTAATTTGAATATTAAGTTTAAAGCTAACAAGAAAATTAGCTTTGTGTAATAGAACTGTTCTATATCACAATTGGTGGAGGTTATACAAATGCATAGGTGGTAAAACTTGTGTATATATATAAAAAAAGAAATCTACTATAATGAGCAGATATTTTCTTCAAGTGGAAAATATCCTATTAAACCTAAAAACCAAAAACAAAAACAAAAAATCCCCACACCCTTAAGGCACTGAGCTTGGGTAAACAGTTAACACAGCATATTTGGATAAAGTGCTTTTCTTGAGTACAAACATAGGAGAAGGGGCTTTGTTTTTTTTCTCACCTCAGCAGCTTCGACCTGTTGTTTGATGATGGATGGGTCAATGCCTGGGCTTTCCAAGTCATGGACGATGTCCTGGGTGTCTTTGATGGTGGTCAGGAGAGCTGCCATGTCATACCAGAACTTCTCTGCTAGTTCAAGGACATCAAGGAACTTAATTTCTCGTTCTTCAGCACGAGCTTTGATGTCTTCCCAGAAGAATACCATTTGATCTAGTTTGTCCTGGATTTCTGAGGGTATAAAGGAAAGATATGAACAGGACTGCTCTAAGTACTTGAAATCAGCCTCATCAGAAATACTATCTAATTGTCACGTTTTCACTGAAATTATCTTTGAAAAAGCTTTAAGAATTTATAACTGAAGGATATAACTATTATAACTATCTTAGCTTTATTATTTCTACTTGTACACTTTCTGCTTATGTTGGTCTCCCACAGAAAGAGATCACAGAGGTAACTGCAGATGAGTTACCCTCTACTTTAAAGGTACTGCTATGATACAAAGCCCCTAAGTTATAAAGAGACTGAGATGAGAACTCTACTTCCAGTGTTCTGCATTGAATTTTGCTTCCCATGGAAAGTGTTATAAAAGGTAGTTATGTTCTACCCACTATTGATACTGCAGTTTACTCATATTAAGGGTTAAAGGAGCATTTGTTTCCTGGCCTGGGAATCTAACTACCAATTGTAACCGTGTTTCAAAGGGGAAATGTGTTCTGAATTCTAAGTAACTTCCAAATGACTTTCTGGAATACTCATTACTTGAGGACTGTCTTTACATTCAATGAAGTAAATACATCTGGTGGGATGCTGGAGGTAACCACCGCCTAGAATTTATTCTATTGGTTTTCTTTAAAAATAATTAGATTTATCAAGCACCTTTTGCAGCCAGATCCTTGTCAGCTCCCTGAGATCGCCCAATGAGCTCTTCTCCACGGCGTTTCAGGGCCTCGAAGGAAGGCTGCAGTTTTTCTAGCTCCATGGTGGCACTCTTATTGTCACTGATGCACTCTCTGATCTTATCTACTTCAGCAGGGATCAGTGGTGGCATACGCAGGCGGGAGGAAAGGTTTTCCAGAGTCTCCAACATGGGCTCGATTTTATCATGGAACTAAACAAATGTGAGACCATTAGCCATCACAGTAATACTTCACCACACTTCTGGGGGAAATGTTATAGGGAATAAGGTCAAGGTATAAATCTACTACCGTTTAAGATAACCTGCACATAGCCTAGCCTGATGGCTGTTGGGTTTAGCTAAGGAACTGTTTTGGGCATAATAAATCCAGGGTTGGCCCATCAGAAAAAGTACATGTTTATTTTAAGAATCAAAAAGATGTTAATATATCAGAAATGTGACGAGAAAGGGACAAGACTATGAAACTGGTGAGAGTCAGTGTGTCAACATCTCAGGTGACAGTTGCATGCAACAGATTAGACCAACAAGTTAGATGCCCTCCACCTACTATGTAAATGGATAGGGAACTCTATATGCTAAATGACTTGGAGTTTTAAATTGTCATAGCATGCAATTTAACAATCACCGTACATAACAGTGAGAAAGGAAAACGTTGGCATGATGAAAGGGAATTACGGAAGGCCAAATCTAACCTTATTCTAAAAGAACAAATTACCTTTCCACTTTTCTGATACTTTGAATAACATGACTATAATTATAAAATTTTCATTTACAATCTGAAGCAGAGAGGGGGAGAAACAGGAGCAAAACAGATAAGCTTGCCCCCTAAAACGGCTATCTAAAACCAACTCTGGATTTGTTAATCAGAATAAGGTTTATCAACTGTTAAGCATCCTGTAGAAAATACATGGTGGTATTTCCTTAAGAAAAATCACTGCCCATCACTTCCTTCCTTCTAGGTTCTGCCCCAAAGGAAACTGGCATAATTAACTCCACTAACAAAAGTCATTCCACTGAAGTTAAGGGAAATTTCCTAATAGGTAATCCCCTCAATTCTTATCTTCAAAGAAACACCCTACTCCCAATGGGGGTGGGACCTTACCTCTGTAATCTGTAATGGTGGGCGCGGTCAACACAACAATGAAATGTGACGATGTGGGGAAGACAGGAGCAGGCAGCAACAACACAAAGGAACACATTCCACAATGTGAGTGAGAGATGGGACGGAAGGTGGGGGGAAAAATTTGAGTAAGTACAAATATTAACCAAGAATACTGACTAAACACAGGAATAAAATACCCAGACATGACAAAAGTACCACTAACAGTAATATATTAGTTGAAAAGTACGTAGTTAACATGCTTTAAATTCCACTGCTGGTGGTTTATGTTTCTCTTTGGCTCTTACTTGTCCCTACTCAAGAATCTTTCCCTGAGCTAGGACCTAGCTGGTGGCCTCTTGAGTAAGAGAACTAATGTGCTGTCTTCTAAATCTGAAAAGTAATAGGTCCAATAGGAATCTTGAGGCATCTGTTGCTTCAAGATGAATTTATCCAGCATCATTCCTGCTAAAGGACTGTCACAATATAAAGTTTTCAAGGAAAGCACCAATAGACAACATAGACCAACTAAGCTGCATTTTACCCTTACAGTGTCAGCATCCCCATGTTCCTTGGATGCAAATGCAGATCAGCAAAGGTTCCTAGTCTCTGACGTGTATCATCTGCATGCTGGTCTAGACACTGAGCACAGAGGCATACCGGTACACAGAATTCTTGCTTAAACTAAATGAAGGACAGCTGAAGGAGCTTAAGACACACTCATACCTGAGCCGACTGGGAAACAGCCTCGTCCAGGGCCAGGGCCCGCTGGCGTACCTCCTCTTTTATTTGGGCATATGTGTTTTCTGCTTTCTGGTATTTTTCTTCCACCATTTCTCCCTCTTCAGGGTTTAACTCCTTTAGTTGTGGGCCTATCTTTATCAGTTTATCAATATGAGGTTTGTGTTCAGCAATGGATTCCCTTAATTGCTACATAAAAAAATGAAAATGAAATGAGCATTTTTATACAGGTTTATTTGCTTAAATACTTTGATCAGAGCTCATAACAACTTTGGGAAGAACAAACTGAATTACTAAGCATTAGCATTTCATCATTTATGGAGGGAAAAAAAACATCTGGGCCTTGGGCTCTGGACACTACCTGATTCTTTCAATTGTTAAAAGACAGTTCAGATGTCTCATCATCCAGGAAGTGCCCCCAGACACACGCTCTCTCACTCTCACCCTCCAATACAAGTCGTCCCACCATCTTCTGTACTTGTAAGTACTTACACATAACTAACTGTCATTTCTATGATTTGATATCTGTCTCCCTCCCACGAGTTAGAGGCACTAAGCAGGACAAGCTACAAATAGCAACATTTCTGGTAAGCCAGCCATTCCTTGACTTTATTGCTGGCTGCTGCTTGTTTACAACCTTCCACTTACAGGAATACAGAGACAGAAATAAGCACAAGCCATAAACCAAATAAACATTTAAAAAGTTTCTTTTTGAAGTGGCACTAGCATTTGCTGAAGTGTTTACAAATTTCCCTTTCATCTCAACTATATGCAGCAAATGCTTTCTGACATTCCTTCATGGCTCTCACTCCAGCTGGGACCTAACCACATGGAAAGAGTTACCCGACCACACCCCAAGTCTAACAACGCCCCATCGTCACTGGAACGATGTTAAATTCCCTTGATGTTTACTTAGTTCTTTGTTTATTTCCGCAACACCCAGGTTCCTGGTAGCTCCACAATCGTATTCTTTAACTGACTCATATTAAAGGACAAAGGAAATGACGTAGGTATGTATTTTTCTTGTGCAAATAAATTCTGATTAAGAATTTTATAACATAGGGCCGGCCGAGTGGCGCGTTGGTTAAGAGTTGGCTTGGGACGCCAGCTCTGAGCAGCAGGGCCCTGCCTGGTTCAGATCCCACATGTGGGCCAGTGACTCCTGAGCCCTCCACAGCTAAGATGGTGAACAACAGCTCGACCTGGAGCTGGGCTGTGTGAGTTGCCCGCGACTGCGTAGGCTGCAGTGGGCTGGCCAGCAGCTGGCGTGCACTTTCGTGAGCTGCCATCCAATGGTCGGCGGCCGACTGCCTAACCCAGGAAGAACGCAATGATAATACCAACATGGGCCAGTGAAGCGACGTCCTCCACAACTAGACTGAAGAACAAAAGGACAGCAACTTGTCTGTTCCCTTCCCCCAATGCCCCAATAAAATCTTAAAAAAAAAAGAATTTTATAACACAGACTTACACTCAGTAGGCATGAATAAATATGCTGTTTTCTTAATAGATTGTGAAGCTTAACAGATTTCAAGTTCTGCAATTAAAGAAAATGCAGCATGCTCCTTACCCTCATCTCCTCTTGCTGGAGCCGGAGCTGCTCATGATCAATAGCTGGAGGAGGTAACTGTGCTATTAGTGCCCGAGTTTCCTCAGTCCAGGGGCTGAGCTCCTCATACGTTTCCCAAAACTGGTTCACCAAGACCTGTGCCCGCTCTAGACGGGCATAACGCTCTGAATTGAGTTGACTAATGGCCTCATATTGCTGTATTAGAGAGTCTGTCTTTTCCTATGAACAACAACAACAAAAGTATTATTACTGTTATGAACCCTTCTTTTAAGAAAAAAATGTAGGCATATTACATTAAAAAGTCTAAAGGAAACACTAAAATGTTTAAAAAATATGGATTAATCTAGTAGGATTACAAGTGATTTTTATTTTCTTTATATTTACCTGAATTTTCTAATTCATACATGTTATTTTCCTATCATACATACATGTATTGTTTATATAATTAAAAAAAAATTAAACTTGTTTCAAATACAGTAAAACAGCAAAATTATCCTTTTAGTGAATAATCTTTCACAACTTTAGCTACAGCATTATTATAATGGGTCAGTTGAAGAATGACCATCTCAGGGGCTATGATGGAGTCTTTGCCTATCAGGTTTCACTTGTCTTTTTTTCCTCGGATGAAAACGCCTCGCAAACCTGGCATTTATGAGTAGCTCAGTCAATTTATGAATATTTTTGAGGAAATAGTGGTTACCCGTAACCTTCATATATAAAAAACAAAAAAACTGGTGTATAAATTCTCTTGGCCAATCCTTTTAGAAATGGGTACGATCTTCTAGAGCAGGGGTCGGCAAACTTTTGAGATGGAAGAGCCGCCAGGGGTCAGCAAACTGCGGCTTGAGAGCCGCAGGCTCTGAAGTAAAATTGAAAATGAAAATAAAACTATCATAGTTTCATTTATAAAATTTTTAAAGGCTATTATTCACATAATAGTGATTATGTAAAAGTATATTTATGGCTCTCGAATAATTTTTAAATTGTTGTGAGGGACAGGATTGGCTCTTCCAGGGGTCGGCAAATTCTTGAGATGGAACGTACTGAGCTGCATGTGGCTCGCGAGCTGCAGCTTGCCGACCCCCGTTCTAGAAGGATTTCAAGAAAAAACTAATCTGCACATGGTTTAAAAAAATGTATCACAGAGTTTTGAAAAGTAACTGCCTCATGTACTGAGGATAAGTAGCAATTCCTCAGTTATAAAGAAGATGGACTTGTAATATATTTCACATTACACAGTATGACTGTTTACATTTGTGAACACAGGGTTAGGAGTCTGAATTCCCCAAAAACATCAAGCTGGACATTAATACATCTACTAGTATTGTAATATAGGAAAAAACCTTCTTAAACTATAATCTCACAACTGTATTTCTAATTCACCACAATCAAGACAAGAATAATATGGTGAATAAATAAACGCGATTCACCTGTAACACAGCCTTTTGCTCCTCTCCACATGTGCCAAAGATTTCACCACGATGACTGAAGAGTTCATCCATTGAATCTTTGTGTCGAATGATGTCAATGGAGAAAGCCTTTGAAAAGTAAACTACAGTTAAGTAAAAGGACTCCAAGCCTGTGTCAGTGAAGTTAGACACAACCTATGAAAAATTCTGTTTTAATAAAGCCCCATCACAAAAATTATTCTTATAAAGCCTGACACTTTGCCTATCTATCCATACATCTTCAATATTTATCTCTTAGTAGCTTACAAAAATATCTTTCCTCCTGAAAATCATTCAGAAAATTATTAACCTTTCCTGGATTAATGAGCCTATTACTCCCTTCTCACTAAAGCACAAGTCTCTCCCTCATCCTAACCAAATATTTATAAAAGTAATCTTCCCATATTCATGACAACGAATCATTCCATTTGAGTTGGAATAGCTGTCAGAAACTCTCTCACAGTCGCTCTGAACTACTGACAATTATATTAGCTCAGGACAGTGAATGTGTCGGTGTTACACTTACCTTCTGTACCTGCAGCTGAGCTGTTGTCTGGTCCTGTTCCAGGCGAATTGGACCCAGGGCCATCAGTTTCCGTTTTGTTTCAGTAACCCAAGCTAGTTCTGCATCAGCAGCTTGCTCATACTAATAGGCATGTAGAAGAAAAATGAACATATTAGACAGTCTGGGTCCTCCTTAGAATTCTAACTTATTCAACACAGAAAGACCTAGATTTTTCATAATACAGTTTATAACTTACAAAGTAAAGCCAAAACTGGGGAGAATTTCATAAAATCACAAATCAAGATGCAGACAATTTAGAATTGATTATACTTCAACAAATGAGATGACACTATTTCAACTTTTTTAGAAAGAAGTTAGGAAGAACCCAGTAGGTGGTCCTACAGCTAGAAACGACAATGGAAACTGACATTCTTACAAAGGAGTATACTTCTCATCAGAGTGCTTTTATGAGACTGTGCTCCTTCTACCAATCCCCTTTCCTACCCATATGCTGAACAGTCTTAATCATATGTTTAAACAAACTTAACATGGCAGCAGACAACTGAGTCAAGTTAACTTGGAAGTACTCATTCAGCTGAAGAAGTGTAAGATCCAGAAGAACATCAAACCTTTAAACAGTTATACAGTAACAAAGGAAAACTAAGATAATGTTCTATGGGACTGTTGTTTAATGAGGGTCCCTCAATAATTTTTCTCTTCCTCTTCAACTACACTAATATTTAAAGAGAAAAGAAAGCTTCTCCCAAGCACGATAAAATCCCATACTGAATTATCTGGCCAAAATTATTGGAATATCAATAAAGATACACTGGGGATGAAATTGGAGTCAGAGTAAATTTCTGTGTGGTTCACAAAGCATTTGCTTATCACTATGAACCCAAGGAGTCGTGTTATATTATTTTTTGCACCATGGCACATTAACAGGCCCATATCCAGATACAAAGAAAGGCAAGTAACTTTTTCAAGAAAGCAGGAAAGAAAAAAGATCAAGGGAAATATGACACCTGTATTTACTGGGAGGGTTCTATTTTGGATGACTGCTATTTTGGTTAGCATATTTGATAGTAATTATAGTTCTTGGTTCCTTGCCCTCTTCCATCTAATGTTAAAACAGTTGATTTATTAAACTAAGATTGTGATGCACTGGATATTTTGGGTCTAGATATTATCTACTCCCATCACCATCAGTCTTTTAGCAGGGCACTGGCTAAGAAGAGGGCTCACACAGACTCTTGCCCAAGTTCTCTACTCAAAGGGGACAAGTATTTTGGGTCACACCTAGAACCATCCTCACATACCTTTCCCAATCACTTCTCATCACTGAGATAATATGTTGCATGAGATTCACTTTGATCTTGTTTCTTCTATTCATGAGCCTGTATTTATTGCGGGTCAGTTTTGTATTTCACACATCTATCTCCGCTGCTTAAAATATTAACACATACACCTGAAGCTGATGTTGTATAACACTGTCAACTATAACTGAATATATATATATATATATATATATATATATATATATATATATATATATATATAGTCATGGGACGTGGAGTATAGTGTTGGAGTGGAGTCAAAGGAATTGTAATAGATATGTATGATATGGGGCGGCGGATTGGGGGTTATCACTTTGAGGCATAAAAAGTATAACTATTGCACTGTGTTGTACAGCTGAAATTAATTTAAAAAAATGTTTATTTCACACACACAAAAAAAGTTAAAAAAAAAATACTAACGCAGAGGTGTTTATACACATTACCTGTTGTGATCTCTGAATAGCAGCATCAATTTCATCCACCCTTTGTCCAACAGTGTCACTGACCAGCTTGTACTGCTCGTTGGCATCGGACACAAGTTTATCCAGCCCTTCCCTGGCTCTCCAGGGCACCAGCTCCAAGAGCGCACGGCTCACCTCATTCACCGTGTCCAACACCAGCCTGTGCTCCATGACCTCCTTCTTTAATTCCTAAGGAGGGAAAAAGCGTTTTCAGGCCAGACCTTGCTAAATTAAGCATACTGGCAGCCGTGCTTGGTGAAAAGTGCCATCTCTGCCACACATCCCAGCAGGGCTGTGACCTCCTTCCTGCACTTCTTTTTTTCTTGTCTCAGATTTTTCAATCATTCCAAGCCTGACCTCAGGCTTAGGTGCTGCTTAGATCTGTCCGCAAGACTTCTTGAGCCAGCCTGTCTCTGGGTGAAACAAAGTTCTTTTTTTTTCTTTCCTTACTTCAGTAGAAATGATAAATGCTGCTTTACCCATAGGCATTTAACTCAGTAAGTATTTAAATAGCATTTCTGTGCCTCCAGAACTGCACTAGATCCTGGAGGAAAATCAAATACAACCATGAAGCACTCTTTAGAGAATGAATCATGAAAGTAAATTCTCAAATGCTATCTACCAAGCAAACTTCCTAGGGATTTGGGGTTCAATCTTTTTTCGTCTTCAGATCATAACAAGTGCTCTTATATAGGTCTGTCTTTATGTCAAATCTTACTTTCCATGAGCAAACAAGAAACGAGGCAGATAAAAATTTTTGGTTTAGATTTAGAGATAGTTGGTGATCAAAGTTAAGAATTTAAACTTAAGGATTCTAAGAGGGAAACGTCTTTCCTCGTAGAGTGTGAAATGACAGCTTACCTTCTGTCTTTGCTGAAACTGGGGTATCTGCTCCCCTGTGGGAGACTGTCCCCCACTGACTGCCAGCTCGTCCTCCACCTCCCTCAGCCATCCAGTCAACTCCTCGTAAGTAGACTGGAACTTGGTGGCCAGCTGCCGGGCTTGCTCTAAAGTTCTGAGGGCCTTGGAGCTAGTGACTGTGATATCTGCATAGCGAGTCTTTATTCCATCCAGTTTCTCTTGGATAAGCAGTACCTCTTCACCTGTGGGAGACCACACACAATCATTCATATTTCAGAGATATGAGGGAGCCCTTTTCCGGGGGTGAGAGAGTCTTTTAATCCCCCTTTCATCAGATCAGAGCTCGCTGTTTACAGATGCTCCCTCCCTGTGACAGTGATTTCGCCTGGCATCCCACACTAAGGGAGGAAGGAAACACGCCATTCAATCAATAATAGAAGCCTCTTCTGAGATAAAGATCTGAGTTCAACTGCATGTGCTTCTAGATGGTCCCAGAACCTTGCAGTGAATACTGACATTCGACATATTAAGAGGGCAGGGGGAATCATCATCTATAACCAGATGTGAGACAACGAAGTCTTTTAGTTTTCAAAAGATTTAGCAGGAAATAGGAACCCAGGCTACCAGCCTCCTGGGAGCACGCAGTAATACAACAGTGAATACGAAGCTTCTACATACAAAGAGAAATGGCTAGTGCAGGGTGCTTATTTCCCTGGACATGTAACTGTATGATCAGAGAGGTGCCAAGAGGTGCATTTTTTCAAGTACCTGTGGTTTGTTTTAGAAGAGCCTGACCGTTTTTAATAGCTTGATCTACATTCTTCTTTCTATTAACAATTTCTTCATTTAAAGCCTGAAAGGAAAGGATACCATTAATCCTAAAACTATGGCACAACAAATGGAAAGAAATGAGAACTTTGAGAGATGAAATTTAAAGAAGATGAATATCAGTTTAATTTAAACATTAGATATTTGATTACTTAATTACCTCTTTGGTTACACCATTAATTACTCAAAATAATTAAATTAGATATTTATAGGGAAGCTTTCTTTTGTACTGGAGAGAAGAGTTTTAGGATTAAATCAGCTTTACCAATCTATTGGTACCAAACCTGAACTCAAGAAAGGTAGAGCAGAATTCAGCAAAAATGTCTACTGTGTCCAAAATAAAGAATAAGACAGAAAGTTCAAAAGAAGAAAGTCAGCAAGAACAGGCAGATTTAAATCTGGATCATGGATAAAAACTCAATGTTTGAAATTAATAAAGCTGAATTTTAGATTATTAATAACAACAAAACACCCCTGCTTTGCCTATTTTTACCATCCTAAAAAAAATTCACAACAATGAAAAGGGAAAATTGTTCTTTCTACTAAGATGACAAAGAATCCCTAGAATTTGAGCATATAAATTCTAGAAATATTTTAGAAGTTACAGATATATGATCGATAGTACCCTGGGTACTATTTAGGTAATCTGGTTCAATGCACGTTTCTGCTCAAATGCAATCTGAGTGACACATTACTTAATGATGTAAAACATGAGCTGGAATTGAGATGGTCCCTGACTACACTCTGGATTATCTTCTAGAATTACTGACTCAGTCTATTAAGTACAAGTATTTCCATGGATTTGTCAAAAAACAGATTAGTTCTTAGCACAAGTCTGTAACCATGTATTGTATGTAAAATAAAGTTGAAATGTTTGGAATAAAAAAAAGAAACAAAGAGAAACATGAATCAGAATTGAAAAATAACTTAGGAACACAACCAGTAAGAATGGAAGACATGAATACCAGGTGGTCAGCGTGCTGTTTCTGCAGGACATCCTGTCTGTAATCCTTTACGGACACTGAACTGAGCTTGTCCTCAACCTCGGCAAGCCAGTTGAGCACCTCCACCTCATCCTCCCCGAACAGCCTAGCGTGGAACAGTGCTTGTTCAAGCAGGGCTGCTTTCCGACAGCACCGGTCTTGAACCTCACTGAATCGGGCCTGCAAAGAGTCTAGCTTTTCCGACAGCACACCCTGCTCTGCAGAACATGTCAGGGAGGAGAGGGAGTGCCCAATTTGGACTGCCTGGTGCACATCTGTTGCATGGCTTTCTATTTCTTCCTCCAGAGCCTGGAAATCCAGATGGAAAAAATGAATAACAGAAACAAAATAAATGAAAAGTAAACACGGAACAATGAATAACAAATGATGCAATAAATTAAATAATAATATAAAAAGTGTACCCACTGAAAGGCAAAGGTAATATAAAAGTTGAACACAAAAGCTATTTTTTAGGATGGTAGCCTATGATTCGATATCTATTTTTATTTCAAGGATGTGACTATTCCAATTAATAATTTGACCATATTTTAAATTAAACTTAGAAAAACAAAAACAAAAACGAAACACCCCACAAGATACATCTTCTGAAATGTTGCAGGAAGTTTTCTAATTTCTAGGACTTCTGATTCTAGTTCTTCATTTTCCTTTACCACACCTGCTTCCTACCTTGTGCCGGATGATCTGCTGCTGAATTTTGGCAGTCTGAGTGCCAACAGGTTCTGAGTTAGCAAGCTTTTTCTCTGTGACAGATAAGAAGTCAGAAATAGGCTCGGCTGTCTCATGGAACTGTTTGGCCAGAACCAGGATATCTTCCAGCTGTTTTTGCCTACACAAATATATAGAACAAGCTGCTCAGGCAAAAAGTCACACTAAGATGGACAAGTATTATATTCATGTTAAAAAAACACACAAAAGTTCACCAGATACATTTAAAATATCAATAGTAAACAGAACACACATATATAGCACTGTTTTGCTGTTTTAAAGGTTTTCATAAGCCTTACCTTATTTCGATTCTGTATAACCTTATAAGGTAGATAGAATAATTATCCTATTATTACAAAAGAGAAAACTGACCCTGAAGGCTTAAAGAAAGATTTGTCCAAGGTGCCCAATGAGCAGTAATAGTACAATGAGGATGAGAACCAGGCTTTCTAATCCTTTCTCCTATAGAATGTGGCTCGTGCATCATCTGAACACATGACCAAAATAAAGTTTAAAGGAGTAAAAAAATCATCAGTATTTATTTCTCTCTCTCTGTCTGTCACTGCTACCTTCACGTGTCAGTAAAGAGAGCATTTGAAGAGCCAAGGCAGACTATGAACTAGAACTCCCTTCCCATCTCCCCAAATCCAGTCAGGCTTCTAGTAATTTCAAGCCCCAGAACATAACTCTGAATCCAGATTTAAGGCAAAAAATGACTTCAAACTAGCTGAATTTGCCAACACAAATGGCAGAACTATGGACTTCACAGCTCACTTGGACTCCTAAATTTTATTTAATATAACACCCATACTAAGCATAGATTTCAACTTCCCTATAGATTAAAAGCAGCAAATTACAAAGGGGAGAGGGAGCCTGAAATTGGAGGCAGTCTGATAAGAGACAGAAAAACAACCACAGGACTGTATTAGCACCCAGATTAATACAAGGCCATAATGATGGCTTTGAATCACTAAGAAACAGACTAAATGCTATGTTATTTAAACCCAGGAGTGTATGTTGTACTTTAGTTTAGCAAAGCTTTACTGAACACCTACATTGTGCCAGGTCCTATGGACAAACTTATTTTAATAAGAAATGACTTAAATATAAAGATTTTCCATTTTAATGATATTGAAATTCAATTATGTTTGAATATAAAGAAAAATGTATTTTTAGATGCTATTTTTAAATGTCAATATAAAGTATTTAATTTCCTTTCTTAGTTTGTTTATGCCAGCCTTCAAAATACATCTTTAATACAATTAAAACAAATAATCTTAAAGATTATTATTTAATGAGAATTTCATTAAAAAAGATTGCTCCTATTTAGTAGTCTTTCTGACTCATCTCCGATTTTGGAATCTGAAAGTTTGAAGGCCTCAGTGTATACAGGACTTGGGGTAGCAAAGAGAAGAGCTAAAATAATTTAGAGGCATCAAAAATCCAATACTAAAAATCTAAAAAGAAGTCTTTAGAATGTCTGTAACAAATGAAGCTGCTCTTGGTATTTTTCTTTAAAATACTGGCCCAAAAACTGTTATGCTAGGAGGATGCAAGTGAGCAGTGCAGAAGGAAAGAGTCATAACAAGATACTTTAGAAACATCATGACTTTAATGAGCTCATGGACCTGGGAGATAAGTACTACTTAAAATAATGACCGTAGTACAAGGTACAGAAATAAGAGTTATGGCAGTTAAGAGGGAGGTAGGTTATTCTATGCCTGGAGAATGATGAAACGGTTTACAGAAGAAGGGGAAATGGACAAAAAAGTATTTCATGGAAGATGCAACACCTTCAGCAAAGACAGAATTCGGAAACTGACAGACGGTACTGAGGAAAAGAATATGGTTTGCTTTACCTATAAGGATTGAGAAGAACAGTGGAAAGTAAGAAAGGTAGGTAAGGGCCAAGTAGTAGAAAGCTTTGAATGTTGGGTTAGAGACCAGATTTTATTTATAGGCAACAGGGAGTCATTAAATGTCTTTGAGGTGAAGGCCTGAGGGTAAGTGGCAGTAGAGTGATGAGTGATAAGTAGATTAGTTAGCAAGCCACCTCAGATGAGCTACCTCACGTGAACTACACCAAGTGAGAACTCATATGTCAAGAACTGAAGTTCACGAGTGGGAATTAAGAGAAATGAATGAATAGGAAAGACACTGTAGAAGTAAAACGGACAGAATTTAGCATCCTGATAGATATGGGACACAAAGGGGTAGCAGGGTAAAAATGGGGCTGAGGTTTTAAGCTTAGGTAACTGGAAGGTTAATAGCACTATTAGTGGAAATGGACACAGAGAGAAGAAAAAAAGCAGTGCAATTTGGAAATAAAAATAAGTTGAATTCTCTTATTTTTGTTTCTCCCACTAATATGGACAAGCAATACTTTACAACTCAGATAAGAAAAAAGCAAGCCATGGGCAAATGAGAGAACGAAGATTGAAGACGGAATTATTTGAAGACTGCCACTGGCTACCTAGACAACTAAAAGGACACAAGAATAAATGATCAACTCTACCCCTCTCATGTTTTCCTGATTAGCTAGCATTTACTTTTAAAACTGGGCCAGTATACGCTAAAAGTGAAGACACCCTTGTGGCTTATTAAGCTCAAGGGGCACTGGGGTAACATAGCTAAGGAAAGAGAAAGCACTGCCCTGGAGGAGGGAAGTACACTGCTTGTCTTTTGGCCATTTACTGAAGAAAGTAAAGTTCATGCATTTCTTGAATGTACATATATTTAACAGCACCACAGACTAGCTCCTAGATGCAAAAACATCTAATATTAGGATAAGCTAAGAGAAAAGAAATATATTTCAGGGCCGGCCGAGTGGCGCGATGGTTAAGAACTCGCTTGGGATGCCAGAGGGCCCCGGTTCGGATCCCACATATGAGGGCCAGTGACACTGCCCTATACAGCTAAGATGCTGAACAACAGCTCAACCTGGAGTTGGGCTGCCATGAGTCGCCGGCGACGGCGTGGGCTGCAGTCCCTGTGGCAGTGGGTTGCCATGGGCTACCGTGTGTGGCCAGCAGCCAGCGTGAGCGGCCAGCAGCCGCAGTGAGCGGCCGTCCAGAAGCCGGCGACTGATCTGCCTCGCCAGAGAAGAGCGCAATGATGGTGCCAACTTGGGCCAGTGAAGCAACATCCTCCACAACTAGATTGAAGAACAAAACGACAGCAACTTGTCTGTTCCCCTTCCCCCAACTCCCCAGCACTGTTCCCATCCCCCCAATTCCCCAGTAAAAAATCTTTAAAAAAAAAAAAAAAAGAAATATATTTCAATTCCAAATATCGACGGCATTCTTTATAAATATGAAGGGGGAAAAAAAATCTGTTTTAAAAACTCAGAAAATAACTGGCTGGGTTGCAGACATCTGTGTCTGTCGTCTGGAACCATGATTATGCTGAAGAACAACAACACAGAGCAATGAGTCCTCAGTTCTCAGAAATTTATGGAGGAGCTGAGGCTCATTTCCTGAGTTACTCTGGTTATGAGGATCAGCTCTAAGAACATAGCCCTCTTCAAGATGAAAGCCATTCAACGCCTTCCAAAGCACTGTATCAATCACCCAGTAACTTTCAGAGCACCTCAGTGATAGCAAGTCAAAAACAGGACACAACAGAGCTTCCCTGACCCATTCTCAGAACCCCTTTGGCCTTACCTGGCTGCTGCCTTGCTGAGTAGCCCAGTCCATCTACTTTCAAGACTCTCCAATTGTCCAGTGATTTTCTCTCTGTCGGCCAGTTCTGCTGACTGGGCTATTCTGCCTCCTTCTGCTTGAAGCATGTCCACGGTGGCCTTTCGATCATCCAGGAGCCGCTGGAGCAACTATTGGACACATATACACATGTTCAAAGTGTGTGAAAAGTGGTTAACACAGGGTAGGGTCACTTAAAAAATCTAAAGTAAGGATGAAAAAACAAACAAAAAATCCCAAATCCCCACCACACCAAATCCTAAGCTTAAGTGCATAACAAGTTTTTTTTCATCCTGAGGCAAAATCATAAGATTGTTTCTACCATCCACATAAGCTTTTCATACACTTAAGTTTTTAAATGAAATAGTGACTATCATTATGTGACTAACAGGGAACTTAACTTTGAACCAGGACAAAAATGCACTGAAATGAAAATTAAGCCCCCCAAAACCCATACTTAGGTGGAACCTTATACATTATTTAGAATATTGCTGACCCTGATAACACCAAAAACCTTTTAAGATAAAGCTGTGACTGAAACGTTGAAATGGGATACATGAGTAAGTAAAACTGTTCAGTCCAATATATGCCACAGTAAGGTTAAAGTAAGATGATAAAAATAAATTTCCACCTTTCTTTTCAGGGTCACAAAAAGGAGGTGAGAATTCAACTAAAACTCATGAACGTACTCCCTAAACTATGAGCAAATGTGTTGTCTGCCACTGCCTCCGGCTCTTACAGTTCACTGTCCCAGCATTCTCACTTACCTTCTGTTCCTGGATCTGTGCTTTCACCACTTTATACTCAGCAGATGGAGGTTTCTGATTGGCTATGAGCTCCTCAGTGTCTGCCAACCAGCTGAGCAACGGCTCCAAGGCATCTTGAAACTTCCCACAATGCAACAAAGCCTCCTGGAGTTGTGCAATTCTTTGTGCAACCTGTATCACAGACACAGAGACTCATTATGAGAAAGGAGAGCTTTTAAATTACTACTGACCCCTTTTCGTATCTACCAGTTGCAACTGCTAAATAGTTATTTGCCTTCAGGTTCCAAAAACATCATAAATTTAGATGTCTATTTTCTATGCGCTCTGTCCCCAGTACACTTGTTACCTGCATCCTGCACGCTCCCCCTGCCCGCCCACCCACCATACGTCACTTACCTTTTTATTCAGTGTGTTCCATCGAGCATTGATCTCGTCCATGTCATGTTCCAAACCCTGCACATCGCAGTTTTTTCCAGCACTCTGAATCAATCCCTGGCCAAGTCCATTCACCTGCTGTAATTTCATCTGAAGAGGATCCACCTGTTCTTTCTGAAACATCTAGATAATTGTAAGCCAAAAAGGACTTAATCCAAAGGCAATCAGACCCTCCATACCACACAGTGACTGGTTATTCTTGGGAGATTTATGCTTTAACAAAAAAGGGACAGGAATAAAAACTGAAAACAAGCCATTTGCACAGGGAGTTATCAAGGAAATTTGTGTTTTCATATTTCAATACAGCCTCCCACGGACAAGAAATTACAGAGAGTTATGGCACTACTTAAATCTTTAACCCAACGACTCATAGTTTGTTTTCATTTAAAAAAAATCTGTTTGCATTAATTTTTAATGCAAAAATCTATAAGAAGAGAGAAGCATCAGCCTCAAGATATCATAAAAGTGTGATGTATCTCAATCCTAATAGGGAAGAATGATACCTTGGGGAATAGCTTTAACTGACCACTGATATATGCAATGCTTTTCTCTGACTAGGCCTGATAACTCAATTAGCCCAAACATATTAATAGTGTGAAAAATGCCAACCTCATAGCTTAATTCCCAAGTGGCCATTTAACTCCACTCTGTTCCAGGGCCAGACCACACACAGCCAATAATCTTGAAACAGTATTCCTCTGATTACAAAGGGAAACGGGCCAGTAATACTGGGAAATGTCCTTAACAATTTCAGACACATACTCTGAGTAAGATGCAGAGATATATATATATATATGAAATATTTAAAAATGATACTGTATATCCATGTTCACTACAAAATAACAGAATTTTAAAACGTGAAAGAAGTGTAACAAACAATGTGCATGATTCTTTCTACTGCAGATAAGCTCCATTATGACTTAGAAATTTCTTAAGAAAACAAGGAGAAGAGAATGGTACTTTAGCCACTCTAAGGAAAAGAATGAAATAAATATTTGTCCCTAAGATCAGATTTCTTTCAATCATCAGAGGATAAAAATCAGCCATATTCTACTAGTCTGGATCTTTTTTCATTCTTTTTTCTTCCACAAAAAGTTCCTTCAGTTTCAGTGAGACAGCTGAGTCAATTAAGATTGAAGAATGACAAAAAATGAAAGAAGACAAAAATAAATGTTAAAAAAATTTTAAGTTTGGGTACGATTAATTTTGACCTATGAGACCACAGATCACACTAGGATTAGGAAGCTGATTCTAGAAAGAATGGTTAAGCTGGATAAGTGAGTTACCAGAGAGGAAAAGCCCCAGGGGACACTGAAAAAAGAAGGTTACAACGGTAATTACCAGTGGGCTTCATTTTATACTATAATTTGATTACTCTATATTTTGTTAGGCAGCACTACAAGGCAGTGCAGCTAAAAATGACTGTTTCTCCAACATGGTTCCCAGAAAAAGCAAGTGCTATAATTCCATTTTTATTAAAAATGTTTCACTGCAGAAAAATCAGCACAGGGGTGGGGGGTGGGGAGAGAACCCCAACTCCCATGTTTTAAGTTGCTGGGGTACAACAAAATGGTGGTGGTGGTGGTGGTGGGGGGTGGGGGTCGGAAAGGCAAAGAAAGAAGAGCCAAAAGTACAGAGGGAAGATGTCAAGTCCACTGAAGAGCCCCCTTTTACCAATAATCAAATCCTGTGTCTCACACTATGACTGACATTTATATTCACTCTGTGCTGTCCAATATGGTAGCTAGCAGCTACATGCGGCTATTTAAATTAACTAAAAATGCAGCTCCTCAGCTGCATTAGCCACATTTCATGTGGTCAACAGTCATGTATGGCCAGTGCCTACTGTATGAACACAGAGAGTATCTCCTCCACCTTGGCAAGAAGCTCTATTGGATAGTGATATAAATGACACAGAAAAGTAAAATATATTTAAGTAGCTTAAGAATCTCTTCCAGGGCCGGCCGAGTGGCGCGATGATTAAGAACTGGCTTGGGATGCCAGAGGGCCCCGGTTCGGATCCCACATATGAGGGCCAGTGACACTGCCCTCCACAGCTAAGATGCTGAACAACAGCTCAACCTGGAGCTGGGCTGCCGTGAGTCACCGGCGACGGCGTAGGCTGCAGCCCCTGTGGCAGTGGGTTGCCATGGGCTACCGTGTGCAGCCAGCAGCTAGCATGAGCGGCCAGCAGCCGCAGTGAGCAGCCGTCCAGAAGCCAGCGACTGATCTGCCTCGCCCGGGAAGAGCGCAATGATGGTGCCAACTTGGGCCAGTGAAACGTCCTCCACAACTAGACTGAAGAACAAAAGGACAGCAACTTGTCTGTTCCCCTTCCCCCAATTCCCCAATAAAAATCTTAAAAAAAAAAAAATCTCTTCCATATAATAAAGCTAATTCTTTTTTTTAAAATTTGGATTTACGTTGCTTATGAACATTTCCTATAGAAGCATTAGAGTCCTTCTTTTGCTTCCCACCTCCACTCTACGCATTACATTGACAGGGAATGGGTATTTGTCTCATTTTTTCTCAAAAGTTTGAAAATACATGAAAGCGCCTCTAAATAAATACAAAATATTTATTTTGAACACAAGTAAACAGAATGTTAAAGAAAGTAAATTTGAAAATACTCGCTCCCTTCACTCAGCTCCCAAATAAAGCTGTTTTGCAAATGCAGTGCTTTCAGATACTTTAAAATTCCTACTCCTTAGTATTTCAATGGGACTATGCCATGTTATTAACTGACCAGTGTTGGCAGACATTTCCCAGAGCAGAACACTAGTAAAAATTATGGCAAAGATGTAAGATACAGGAGGGACATAAAACAGAAAATTTCCCGAAGGACTTTTATCCTTGGTAATATCACATTCTCCCAGTTTTCATCCTGATGGATCCTTTTTTGATGTTTTGGCTTTTTTCCTTTTTCTTTTCTAGATCTCCAAATGTCTTTGGGGGCAGGGAAATGGGCAGAATGTCAGTCCTGGGCCCTTTTCTCATTCTATACTCTTCTTCTAGGCAATTCCATCCATTCCTGTCTTTAAACGTTAACCATGATAAATGCTTATGTCTCTAAAACTGTATTTCCAACTACTTTCTTAATATTGCCATACAAATGAATCACAGGCATCTCAAATCTAACCATTCCAATACTGAACAGTATTCCTACTTTCCTCTCCCTCCAAATCTGTTCTTCCCTAAATCAACAATTTACTACTGTCCCCAGCCACTCAGTTGTACAAACCAGAACCTAGAAGCCATCCTTGATCCTTTTCTCTCCCCTCCCTCTCAACATAAAAGCCATTACCAGGTCTTGTTCATTCTACCTTCAAAATATTTCTTGAATCCATCCCAATCTACTTACAACCCTCTAGTTCAAGCCACCTGGACAACTACAGTAAACTAGTGGGCCTCTCTACTCTGTCCTTGATCCCCTAAATCCATTCTACACACAGTAGCGAGTGTGATTTTTTTTTTAATTTGCAAAAACCACTCAGTGTTTTCTGTATTTATGCCAATTATTTATCATAATGCAAACAAATAAAATACGAGACAAAAGAAATCTGAGATCTATAAACTCCAAATAATGAGACTATTTACTATCAGGGTGGACCGGTTTTCTCTATCTTTAAGCTGAGAGTAATTTTTAAAAAAATGTAAGTGAAATTATTTCACTCACCTACTTAAAATCCTTCAATAGCTTCTCATGGTTTTAAGCTACAGATCCTTTTGAGGATATCTTTCTCAGTCCCTGCATCGTCTGGCCCCTGCCCACCTCTCTCATTTACTTCAAGGCACTCTCTGGAACCCTCAGCCACTGTGGTCTAGCCACTTGGCCTTCTTTTAGTTCTAACATGCCAAGTTCTTCCCAGCTTCCATTTCCTTTGTCTGGAATGTTCTTCCCTCTGCCTCTTTGCCTAAGTAACTTCTATTTATCCTTCAGGTTTTAGTTGTAAAATCCTTTCCCTGACTCCACAATAGAAATTAAATACCCCTATTATTTCTTATCATTGTCTTTTTAATTCAAAGCATTTGCCATAATTTGCTACATATTTGTGTCATTTTTGCTTAATGTCTGTCCCCCACTCCCCACTGTAGTACAAGTTCACAAAGGCAGGGACCAAGCCAATTCTATTCACTGCAGGAGCCTCAGTACCTGGCACAGAGTAGGTACTCAATAAATGTTTATCCGGTGAATAAACGAATCCTTGTATAGAAAAAATGGTGTTATAGAAAGCAAACAAATCCATGAAGGTTGTGCTGATTAGCTGAGCATTCAAACACTGAACTCAGATTGTTGAGCTCCCCAATTTTTGTTTAAAGAGACTTTTTTGGGCCAAATTTTAATTTTATAGAGCCTTTTATCATACAAAGGTTTTTTTTTTTTTTCTTCCCCAGTGATTGGAAATAAGACTAAGGAAATCTATAAGTGAGAAGAGTGTTTAAATAGCCAGACTGTTCTCCTTGGGCCTAGGATCCCATTATAGAAACAGAAAACAATTTTGACATTTTGCTCCATCTACCAAACTCTCTCATTATTGCTATTAAAAAGCTTTTATCTATTTTAACCATGTATACACGTAAACATGTGTACATATGTACACACACACACAGAAGAACTAAAGCAGTGCATTCCAAATCACATTCTGGGTATAATCACTTGTCGAGTTCCAAATGCTTATATATAAAAATGACAGGTTCAATTGCCTCTAGGAACCCTTTTAGAAGGAACAAAATACATACATTTCTCATCTTGGAAAAACGTTTTTTTTTCCTCAATATTTCATAAATTTAGCAAAATACTTATATTCATGTTACTTCTATAATGATATTTGTTTTGCTTCAGTGAACATTTTCAAAATAGCCTCTCTACATTTTTATTGGCTAACAGTCCCAGCTATTGGCTTTGGCTTACATTTTTCCTATTGTACACAAATGTAGGCATCTTGCTTCCAGATATTCCTTAAGGTGATCACACTTCAAAGATGATGGGCGACCTTGCAGCTGGGTTACTATTTCCTTCTATCATTTATATCAGGAACTATATCTTAAAATGACTATCTCCAGTAGCTGGAAGGATCCTTAAAGATTGATTACCTAGCCCCATCTACTCATTTTGTAGATGGGGAAACAGATCCCAGAGACTGACAAAAATTCAGGGTTTTCCTAATTTTTTTGTCCTTTATGCAAATTTGATTGGGTCCTTATAAATTTAATTCCTGTATTTCACTGATTATTGCTGTAGGCTTTATACTGGAAATATTCCATATGATCAAGAATGTCAGTCACTTTGGACAGGTTCCTGGGATCTTGGTGTCAATCCCACATTCACTAAAATTCAGAAAACTGAATCAAATCCATCAATCTGAAAGGTGATGCATTCTAATTTGAGGGGATGCTACATTACACAATAACTGGTGAAGCCTGAGGGGACACCACCACCACTCAGCTGAGGAGGAGGATCGATGGGAAAACTGGCAGCTTATGGCCCACCCACAATCAAAATGATTTTTCGTTGCTGGTAATTAGTTGCATGTTTAATTGGTGCTCTATCCAGCTATGGCTGCCCTGAAAGGCTTTGCAAGGGGGTGGACGAGAGAACCCCTCTTGTAGCATTCATGGATAATCATGAGATTGATAGTCATCAAGTCAAGTCAAGTCAGTCAACAGTAAATGCTTACTACAAGGTAGGTACTGTTTTCGGTCCTGGGGATGGTGTAAAATCAAAAGCACCTCCGCATTCAGTAACCTCTGAATGCATTAGGTTAACCTTCTAACTCCCTCACTCCACTTCTTACCACTGACCAAATGACACCAGGGCAGTGAACTGCAGGAACCTAATGATCTCAAATTCCTTTCACTAGAAGTGCTCAAAGATGTGAACACTTGTTCCCCACAGCTTCCTACCACAGTCGCTTCTCTAACATTAAGAAACTCAGAATGTTGGAGCAGAGAGAGACTCAGGAGGACATTTAGCCCAATTTCCTTATTTTATAGGTTAAGAACAAGTACAGAAAGGAAAGTGACTTGGTTCAGGACACAAGGTTTTACAAGACGACAAAAATACCTCTCTTTTTCATAAACACTATTGTGCCTTATTCTGCCGTTAAGAAACACACATTTGTATTAAAAAGCTGTTATTCACACATCTATATATCGCTTTCACCCAACCTGCTTTGGTGAATTCTTTCAACTAACCACCATATCTATTAATATTTGAAAGGGAAAGGGGGAGGATACTGACAGCGACTGAAATTGTATACGCTTGGTGCTTTAGATGGATTATCTCATTTTATCCTCGCAATCATCACAGGGTTCTGGCCTTACCAAATGAGGAAACTGGAGACACCGGACATCTAATTTTCCCAGAGTGGTTAAGAAGTACTGCCTGTCTCATTCCAAAGCTCACATGCTAGCCTCTACCTGACTGCTGACATACTGATCCATGAGCAGCTTCCTGATGTAGGAAAGAACATGCTCACTGTAATTTCAAAAGCAGAATCACCCTTTCTTGCTAGTCATCTTCGTCAAAACATAAACCAACAACTGCTTGTTTTCCTTGTGTTATCTCTGAATAAAAATCAGAATGTGAATTATAAAGTTTTTTGCCAGATGGAAGTAAAACATATTTCCCCCCCATAAAGTCAACAGAAAGATCAGAAAAGCCCAGGTGCCCCAAAGAGAACTACAGGAAGTACTATCTGTGTCGTTCTAATCACCAAGTCAGAGAACTTGCATATCTTACTTTCCTCTCCAGAACCTTACCCAACAAAATGAGCAACAATTACCTCATTTGAATTTAATCCATCAGTTGCAGCCAGAGGCACTTTCCCAAGCAGCATTGTGCCAGTCATCTCTTTTATTCCAAATGCTGGGGAATCAAGGTCCTCCTTGATCCACATTCCAGCAGGGGAACCCTCCTCTAAAGCAGTAGTTCCTTCCTCTGAGACAGGTACTGTATCAGTGTGGGCAGTATCTCCCAGAATGGGCACATCAGCAGGGAACACTTCCTCCAGAGCAGGCACTGCAGGAGTTGGGGTGGCAGGCTCCTCAGGGGTGGGCACTGCAGGAGCTGGATTGGGGGGCTCTTCTGGGGTGGGCACTGCAGCAGCTGGGGCTGCAAGCTCCTCTGGGGTGGGCACTGCAGCAGTTGGAGCTACAGGCTCCTCTGAGGTGGGCACCGAGGCAGCTGGGGCTGCAAGCTCCTCGGGGGTGGGCACTGCAGCAGCTGGGGCTGCAGGCTCCTCTGGGGTGGGCACTGCAGCA